AAAAAAAAGACAAACAAAACAAAACAAAAAAAAACATAGCAACTTAAAGGGACAGTTCACCCAAAAATGAAAATTATGTTATCATTTACTAATACTCACTGTCAAGTCGTTTCAAACCTGAACATCAAAGAAGATATTTTGAGGGATGTGGGTAATCAAAAATGACTATGGAAGCCAATGGAGACTGAAACTGTTTGGATGCCCACATTCTGCAAAATATCTTATTTCATGTTCAACAGAAGAAAGAAACTCATATAGGTTTGGAACAACTTGAGGGTGAGTAAATGGTTTCATTTTGGGTGAACTATCCCTTTAAGAGCTCTATAACCAATACATTGTGTTTTTCTGACTCTAAAGTGCCTCAAAGAACCACTGAAGAACCTTTAGTTTTTCCATTGACCGTAACTCGTGAGTACTGGTTTTCACTATGTGTTTGTAGCTCCTGAACTTCTACAGCAGAAAACATACGGTAAAGAGGTGGATCTCTGGGCCATTGGGGTGATTGCATTCATTCTGTGAGTGCTGGATTAATATTATTCACCATACATGAATAAACTCTTTTATAAACAGCACTGTACCAAACTGAAAGTCTGTATCAGCAGTTCTTAATTTTCTGGCAGACTCTGTGGCTACCCTCCGTTCTATGATGACAACGATACACAACTCTACAAGCTGATCATAAAGGCCGAATATGAATATGATTCGCCATACTGGGACGACATCTCTGACTCCGGTAAAATCACAAAAATATATAATCTCTCTTACTGTATAGTATGAATAACCAAATCACATTCATAGCATCATCAGTCCAAATGCTCATATAATGCTCCAAGCCTCCATTTGTTGTTTTTTAATAATGCATAATAACATATTTGTATCTGAGATTTCTATTTACATTTTTCATTATTTAATGCTACTTTTATGAAAACTAATGACATTTATTTTATCATACAAAAACGTAGTGAAATTTTGGACTGAGGAGGATGGGTTATGAATGTACAAAATGTGGCCCCAAAATATTTGAACACTTAAAAGTCACACAAATGTACAAAATCAAGTTTCCACATTACTTTGCGTCTTTTTTTTTAATTTGCAAAAAAAAAAAAAAATGCATGTACAATGTGTCTAAATACTTTTTGGGGCCCTGTTCGCTTTATGATTTCAAACCTACTTTTTTGTGCTTAAACTGTGTTTGTGCTATTTTTATTTTGATATAATGCATCATGCATATAATATGCAGTTACATAATGCACACTCAAAGGGACAGTTCACCCAAAAATTTAATAATCTGTCATCATTTATTCACCCTCATGTTGTTTCAAACCTTTTTGACTTTGTTTCATTCCATGGAACAAAAGGAGATATTCTGAAGAATGTTTCAACTGTTTTTGTCTATGCAATGAACGTCCAATGGGGTCTAAAACAACTGACAATACTTCATTTTTATATATTTATACTGATGCACTGTGATTCATTTTAAAAATAGCAAAAATAATGTTTTTGCTTTCTGCAATTGCTTAGGAAATTATATATACAATTAAAGCATTAATGCTTTCATGAGTGGTTTTAAAAACTTCTCCTTTTGAATGAATGCAGAATGTTTTATAATGCAACCTAAACACGTCAAATGCTGGCTACATTAAGTGGTATTGATCTTCTTGTATTCTCTGCCTCTTTCTGCCCACTAATGCTTCAGCGAAAGAATTTATAGTTCACTTACTGCAGAAGGATCCAGCGAAGAGGTTCAATTGTGACCAGGCCTTGCAGCATCCTTGGTGAGCCCATAAATAGCAGGAAAGAGGCGGATGGGGAGCTGAAGGGTTGAAAAGATAGGCTGACCTTGAAGAACAGATGAAGAGTTGGGTCACATCTGTGCAGCGGCGTGGGAGGGTGTGTGGAGACAGGAAGAGGATTATGAAATATAGAATAAACAGATGTCTCTTCACCTGCAGCACTCGGAGGGAGATCTTTAAGAAGCACAAAACAATTATGATTTTCAGAGCAGAAATGAAATAGTGCTCAAAGAAGTAATGCAATGGACTTCTCTTGAAATTCTGAGGTTACATCTGAGGATTCCATGGAAATATAAAAAAAAATTGCAATTCTGAGTTTTTATCTCGCAATACTGTTTTTTTTTTTCCAGAATAGTGAGAATTGCGAGATATAAACTCAGAATATCAAGAAAAAAGTGGCAATGACCTTTTCATCATCATTACTCGAGTCTGCTGTCACATGATCCTACAGAAATCATTCTAGTATGCTGATTTGCTGCTCAAGAAACATTTCTTATTATTTGCATTTAGCAATGTTGAAAACAGTTGTGCTGCTAATTTTTGTGGAAAACGGTAAACTTAATTTTTTTTTCAAGATTCAAAAGAAAATAATTTATTTAAAACAGATCATCTTTTTCGATCATTATAAATGTTTTTACAGTCACTTTTGGTCAATTTGTTGTGTCCTAGCAGAATAATAGTATTACTTTTACTGACCTCTTACTAGGGTTGGGCCGATAGACGGTGCCATCGTCCATCGCCTATGGCTGATCATCACGATGTTGAGCCAGCATCGTGCCCCCCCACCCCCATTCGCCCGCATTCCAATACCGTGTTTAGAAAGAAAATGACGTGTAGGCGGAACCCCTAAAGGGAATAAATACGAGATGGGAGGAAAATATATATTTCAATATTTTTCCTCACAGTTATATAATTGGATAATTATACTACATATATATTTCAGCATCAGGGAGCTGCTATTATACCTGGCATTGAAACTGGCATCGCTTTTAGTTTCGCGATTGCACGTACTCTGTTTATACTATGCAGTACTTACCACACATTTTACAAGATTATATGTTTGTCAGTGGTATGAGGATCTGCAAATCATTCGCCATTGTCCTCAGTCATCTCTCCTTACTCTGTTTATGTGGTAAGTGAAATTTTATGTACTGTAGGATGTAACACTGTGTCTACCCCTTGTCCTGTCGCGACGCGCCGCATAAGCTAATCTGTTTACACTGGACGCGACAAAGCAACCATTGAAAATAATTGGAAATTTGTGTCAGCAGGTCATAAATATAACTATTCCAGCAGTTTACTGTCAAGGATTTGTCGTGTCGCGCCGCATCCAGTGTAGACAGCATCACTACGCAAGTTTCCATTACCCTTCAAATTGCGCAAATTGAAAATAGGCCTAATGGAAACGCGTCAATTTCGCAACAACGCCCATATATCGCAAAAAAGTTTTTATGCTCGCATGAGGTGGTTTTTCAGGCAATGCGAAAAAGGAATAATTCGCAAAACTGCAATGGAAACGGCATTTTTGCATTTACAGGTCACATGGCGTATGTAAAAAGTCATATGATCATTCTTCAACGTACTATAACCTCCAAGAAACACTTCATAAGTGGCCGCGCTCCAGTACAAGTGGCTTTCCCTACAATTAATGCTTAGACAATTTACACTGCAAACATCTGCTCTGATACGGTCACTGAAGCTGATTGCGGCCACTCAATGCTTGTGTTTACATTTTTATACAGTCTATGGTTTATTCCAGCCGCGCCACGCACGTTTCTGAAGCGGCTCTCTTTGCTGCTTCTGTAAAGATACACGCATAAGCCTCCTTTGAATAAATATAGCCAAAATCTGTCAAAATCCCAGCAAAATCCGTTGCCATGACTTGTCGCGAGAGGCAAAAGGTTACGTTTTAGTCACATAACATTGGTTAATGGAAACGCCGTCATTTCGCAATACTTTTTTATCGACATTTAAAAATAATTTCGAAAATCTAAATATCGCCAACATTTTGTGCAAATCTGTAATGGAAACGCGCCTACTGATTATAATGAGTTCTATAGACTGATCTATATATAATAAATCTCTATTATAGATCAGTGGTTCTATAGTATTTTGTCACGCCGCGCCACTCATGTCCGGTGTAGACACGGTGTTAGGAATCGTGTTTTTCCTTATAGGGATTCACGCTTCAGGCACATCCCCTAACTCTTCCCCCACACCCCTCCCCCCGCTCGCCCCCGCCCCCGCCGATGTCATCGTCCATCGCGATGTTTCACTGTAGACATCGTCCGATGCCAATTTTGTAGACATCGCCCAACCCTACCTCTAACTAACTTTTGAACAGTTGTGTACGCTTAATTTTAAATTAATATTATTGTTTTGTAATGGCAGGATTTCAGGAGGTGCGGCTCTAGACAAGAACATCCACGGCTCAGTGTCAGCACAGATTCAGAAAAACTTTGCCAAGAGTCACTGGAAGGTAAGAGTGATCAAAACAAACCTGAGCCAATTTTAATCGGCCAACATTGCCAAGAGTCACTGGAAGGCAAGAGTGATCAAAACAAACCTGAGCCAATTTTAATCGGCCAACATCACAGTCTCAGCCTCATATGGCCACGGAATTCACCAGTTGTTGTCTGATTGGTGCATGGGTTGAGTTCAAATCAGGGTCCTGAAACAAACCAGTTGAGAAGCACTGCATTAGTTGTCTAAGTGCTCTTTTTGAGTAAGATCAAAAATTTACTAAAGCACAAGACTCCCACCTTGCAAATTCAGAAAAACTTTGCCAAGAGTCACTGGAAGGTAAGAGTGATCAAAACAAACCTGAGCCAATTTTAATCGGCCAACATCACAGTCTTAGCCTCATATGGCCACGGAATTCACCAGTTGTTGTCTGATTGGTGCATGGGTTGAGTTCAAATCAGGGTCCTGAAACAAACCAGTTGAGAAGCACTGCATTAGTTGTCTAAGTGCTGTTTTTGAGTAAGATCAAAAATTTACTAAAGCACAAGACTCCCACCTTGCATGTGTAATATAGCTCTATATGACCCATGTCTCTGTGACCTCTGAGGGTGATACAGCACTTTGCATTTGTAAATGTATGGCTAGAGTAACTTTAGCGGCATATGGAGGCTTTGTTATTATTTGCTGCCAGTCGTTTGTTGCTCTACTCCTGATCGTCTGCCCTGCCATGCAATTACGGCATGTACCTTTAAAAGGGCAAATGCTGTAATTGCTGTAACTCAGGCTTTTAGTTCTAGTGCAGTAAATGCCTCCAAACATTAAACTGACTCTTCTGCTCTTATATGCAGTGTAGGTTCACTGTTAGCCATGTAAAGATACTTGCTGAAGTTCACAAGATTCTGCAGCATTATCACTGGCATCTTGTGTTGCAGAGAGCCTTTAATGCTACCATCATCGTGCATCATTTAACAAAGAAAACCCACTCTGGGGAAGACGATGAAGGGAATCACTCCACAAGTATAGGTGAGGAGATGTCACATGACTGTGATTACCTGTAGATGATATTCAGGGCAACAGCACCAAAATGATATTGCTTTTATACAATGGTTCACAAGAAAATAATATAGAGTAACCAACATTTTAGATTAAATATGAACGTTTTTTTTCTCCACTGTTTAGCCAATCAGATTAGAAGACTGCAAACAAACTGTTGCATAATCATTAGACCAAAAGTACAAGCACAAAACTGTAACAACTTTACACTTAAACATTTTAATAGATGAAAATGGTTTATGAGTCAGTGGTTTGCATTCCATTTTGATGAATGAAATTGCTAAAATTCTGACAATGTTGTCATGAATTTCACTCGACTGCAATGTTTAATCCATATAGATTTCTCACAATTTCTGTTCAAATTTATTAGAATTTCATTCTAAAACCGGCTTTTGCTCAATCTAATGTTTTCCTATTTTCTGAGAGTCAATGAAAACAAATTATTTCACTTTTTCCGCAGGGACCATCTGACAATCTACTGGCAGTAAACCTGAGGCTCTGTTAAAGAAATAGTTCACCAAACATGAAAACTGTGTCATTTACTCACCCTCGTGTTGTTCCAAACCCCTATGACTTTTCTGTGAAGAGCCAAAAAGGAATCAAAAACATCATAAAAGCAATTCTTACAACTGTATTTGCATATTCAAATTTGGCATGTGTCAATGAGACATGTGAGAACCAATAGCGTTCAGAATCACTGACAGTAAACTTGGCGAGATGCGTGTTCATGCACATATTTGACTATATGCAAATGAGAATTAATGTTTGAGAATTGCAGTGGAGTTAAAATTGGCATGAACAAAACTAAAAGGAAAATATTTAAACAATAGGAAAACACTTTCATGAAATAAAATAAATGTTAACTGAAATAAAATTACATTTACAATAAATAAATAAAACCTTAAACCTACTTCATTTCAGCTACATTTTTCACTTTTTGTTTAACTTGAAAAACAAAAATGACAAAGTAAATGAAGTAAAATGAATAAAAAGACATTAAAAAACTAATAAAAGACAAAAACACAACAAGACTACTAAAAAAAAAAAAAAAAAAAACTATAATAGTTTATCAATGATACTAAAAGAACACTGATTGACGGTCCCTATCATTGTTTGCTTGCTTCATTTGAGAAAAGAGCATTTTCCCAAAGCTGTTCTTTTGTGTGAGAAAAGCCACAGGTTTGGAACAACAAACAAGACATAACTTTCATTTTGGGGTCTGACCACAGGGGTCACTGTGTTCGGCAGATTGACACAGACTCTGAAACACACCTGTGCTTTAAATGTGCTGCTGTCAGTGAGCCTTCTGCCAGAGCTACTGCTGCTACACTTCAGTGGGCTGCCACTGTAAAAATACCCTCAGTGGAGAACAGCTCCTTCACAACTCGTGTTTTCCTAAGTGTTCTACTCCCTGCCTACTTGTATTTTACGCATAACAGCATGCTGCAGCATGTAGTACTGTCTGTCAGCTGTAAGTACTGTCACTTGAAACTGTATCAGTGATGTTACAAGAACAAATATGGCATAGGATAGGATATTACAATGGATAAATGAAGTAAATAGTAATTGTTGCCTTGTATGTGCTCTGATTACATTGTGGAATAAATAAACTGATCTGCATGTTGTGTTGTGAATCTGTCACAGGGATGATATACGAAGAAAAGGACACAGCCAAAAGAAAAGATTTAGATTTGGAACGCTCGCCATTAATTGTCTTCCCCTTTATAAGCAATCTCACAAAAGCACACAGCCCATAAATTAAGAACAACAACAGAGATTCTCCAGCACTGACTGTAATGATAGGCTGATAAGACAGATACGCTGCCCCCTCTAATTCATGGAAAGAGCTCTACATGGACGGACCAGCCGTCAACTTAATTGATTGAATTATTAGTTTGGGCCAGATTTTATTCGGTTAAAAAACAAAACAAAACAAAACATGAATGGGCAAGATACATGAGCTAATGATCTGTAAATCAGTGAGGACAACTGTGGTTTTGGAAGACAGACTAGAAAAAAGCAGTCCAAATTAAGTCGCTTTTTTTTTTTCATATGATAAGTTTCTTTGAGGATCAGTTATTCACTAATATCTTCACTAATACATTCCTGTAGCTCAAACCATAGAGCATGGTGCTAGCAACACCAGTCATAGGTTCTATTCCAAAGGAATGCAAGAAAAAAAGAGTCACTTTAAATGAAAGTTGCACAGATAAAAGCGCATGTCAAATGTAAAATTTAATCTTCACACACAACACATTGATTTACTATATTTATAATATAAAATTAATGTTTAATTGTACAATTTCTTTTTATTACACATTAAACAGAATCTATCTATCTATCTCCTACGCCTACAGTATGTGTTTTGTAATATATGAACAAGCAGTTATAATTTAATCCAGCAGGGAGCACTTCAGGCCTCTTTTTTAGCAGTTATGCAAGACATATTTCCAAACATCAGTAATTGCACCTTTTTTTTTTAAATGATCATTATTTATGTATAATTATTATTATAAACAAACTAGTTGCTTGATTTCTTGATAAACCTTTTGTAGCCAAACATTTTTAAAAGAAAATGTGCTATGGCTATTTCTTTTCTATAAAAATAGCAATGTGTGTAACATTTTGTTTAATTCTAGATTCATTTCTATCTTAAATCTTATCCTATCTTAATCTTTAAGCACAACAGATAACGTAAGAATCACAGTCACAACATTACTGGCCGGTGTCTATGTGATATTACCATTTGGCAAAGAAGTTTAAGCCTGGCCTAATTATCAGATGAATGGAGAGTGATTAATTATTTATGTTTTATTGATGTTAAATAAGATCATCCACTCAGCATGATTTACTACACGCCTCAAACAGACAACAAAACAACCAGATCACACAGTAAGAATATGAAACGATCAACCTCGGCACTCCAAAGCAGTGTAGGGGAGGAAACAGAAGGCCATTTGCGCTGAGAGTTATCCATCCTTATCCTAAACTAATGAGACCGATTCCTGAAAGCTTTTCACTGTACATATAAACCCAGGAAAAAAAAAATGTCCCAGTGACCCGGAGACTTTTAGCAGCTGTAACGTTAGTCTGAGTCTGAGGGGAGTAGCTACTAAAATATGTTTGATCACACTTTTTTTTTTACATAGTGCAAATTACTTTTATGAACTGAAAGCGTTTAGAACAACAACAACAACATTCTGCTGTGATCAGAAGACGGCAGCTTTAATAAAACAGCTCTTGGTAGAACATTAAATATGCTGAAGTATTGCGGTTTTGAAGGAACCACGAGGAAGCAATTTACAGTACCGCAGGCAATTACATATTAAACAATCTCAAAATGGTCTGCCAGTTAAGACGTGTTGTCAGGATGTTCTGAGGCAGAGAACGCGAGCGAGCTCTCTGATTGATGTCCAGCTGGCCAATTAGGATGCAGAAGCGTGATTTGAAAGTGCATGCATACCACCAGAACAGCCACAGCTAATGCAGTGAATAAATATCTAATGGAGAGGTTTTTAATCAGATATGGAATGGCACGCCTCAAGTAATGCACAGCGTGACCTGGATTACCACTAACAGCTCCAGACACCTGAACTGTCTAGTCCACTTAACTGCGGTTGAAAGGTCATTGTCTGCTTTCCCAGCACACATGCATGTGATTAATGCCTGTGAATCACACATCTTGGGGTGTTTTCCCAAATCTAAAATAACTCAAAAAGTGAAAAATTACTGATCTAATTATGGTCTCATTCTTGGGAATGTCCTGTCTAAGAAAATCAAAGCAAGCATTGTTAAACTCTGGACAAGGCGATGGAAACTTTCATATTGAATGTACACTGCAAAAAATGCTTTTCTTACTTAGATTTTTTTGGTCTTGTTTCCAGCCAAAATATCTAAAAATTCTTAAATCAAGAAGTATTTTCTAGACAAGTAAAAATTATCGTCTTGTTTTCAGAAAAATCAAGTCAAAATTTTGAAACAAGCTAAATAATCTGCCAATGGGGTAAACAAAATAATCTTGTTTCTGTTTGAAATAATCTGCATGTCTGTTTTATTTAATGATGAGCTTATATGGGAAGCCAAAGTCAAAAACATCACATGAGAAGCTGAGTACTGAGAGTTTCAATTAAGTAACCACTTTGCTCGCGAAATAAATTAATCATGGCTGACCACGATTCTACAATGGGTTTGGCAACTTAAAATTTTTGTTTTTGCAGGATGCTACACTAATGCTGAGCTCAAGACAACTGCCTTAAAGGCACAATATGTAAGATTTTTTTTATTAAAATATCCCAAAACCACTAGAACAGTGTTATATACTTTGCTGACTTGTGCACTTACATTATCCCAGATGTTTTAAAGAATGTTTAAATCCAGAGAAATAAGCAAATGTAACTAGTGTAACGGACCGTGTCCATAGTGTCATTGTGTCGCCTGCCAATGACGTCATAAACCCTAGATTTTTCTGGTTTTATTTTGTTGAAAACATGGAAACACCAAAGACGCTTTAATATGTTGTGCGTTTTATTAGACAGGTGACGGACGCACAGAATAGCATTATAACAGCACTTTCAATACACTCAAATGTATCTAGTATAAAACAGCGTTGTTTTACCCCACATACGCATGACCGGAAGAAGCGGAAGCGGTCGACTGTGGCATAATAAAAGCTCTGCTGCTATTGAGCCGTGTATCGCGCTCGTCCTTCATTAACAATCACTCCAGCGGCCTCGTTTCGCTTCCACGACTTTTAGCCCCACCCTGCTTCATACTACAGTGACCTTAATGAATCTTTAATACATTAGCTCATCAATGAACATGATTTCTGCCCGAGTCCCGTCGGATTGCATTGGCTGTGGGGATGAAGACGACAACTCCCATGATTCCATACTCAATCACGGCATCACCAAACTATGCCTTTGTTTCTTGTTTGTTTTGAATATGCGCCCTCTAGTGACGAAAACTTACATAGTGTCTTTAATGACGAGTGCAAAGTAAAAAAATTTTTTTTAATTGTTTAAAATAGTATAAAACAGCGTTGTTTTACCCCACATACGCATGACCGGAAGAAGCGGAAGCGGTCGACTGTGGCATAATAAAAGCTCTGCTGCTATTGAGCCGTGTATCGCGCTCGTCCTTCATTAACAATCACTCCAGCGGCCTCGTTTCGCTTCCACGACTTTTAGCCCCACCCTGCTTCATACTACAGTGACCTTAATGAATCTTTAATACATTAGCTCATCAATGAACATGATTTCTGCCCGAGTCCCGTCGGATTGCATTGGCTGTGGGGATGAAGACGACAACTCCCATGATTCCATACTCAATCACGGCATCACCAAACTATGCCTTTGTTTCTTGTTTGTTTTGAATATGCGCCCTCTAGTGACGAAAACTTACATAGTGTCTTTAATGACGAGTGCAAAGTAAAAAAATTTTTTTTAATTGTTTAAAAAAATACCACAAATACACACATAAAAAATAATAATAATAATA